TATATACATGTATGTGAATATGTATATATATATATATGTATGTGTATTTGTACGATAGATTATGTAACTGAAGGCAGGTGGATCCAAACTTTCACGTGTTTGTTCTAAACCCAGGCCCACGTTCATCGATACTCGCCGTTGGATATATACGCATGTGCACGCTTACAATGTTTGCAAATACCACTAGATATATATGGTTGATATATACAGTTGATATACATAGTTTGATATAAAGTTGATACATATAACTGATATATACAGTTGATATATAGAATTGATATAGACAATTGATATATATGGTTAATATATATATATTGATATATGTAGTTAAAATATTTAGTTGATACATATTGATACCCACGTTTTATTCCGAATTCTTTGGTACACTAGCAGCAGCCCACACATACGGATAGAAGACAAACTTGTTTGCTTTGCATAGTACAAATTTACGATCAGATGTGAATACATAGCATACAAGACAAACATACACCCAAATTACCCACACCTACACACACCCAAAAATACCTACACACGCCCAAATTACCTACATACACGTTTGTATATCTGTTCAGAATACCTACATAGCCCCCTTGCCACCCCCATAGGATATTCGTATACCATCATACAACGCTCTGACCCCCCCACACTCTCCTACACAGAGATAGCCTATACTGCTTTTCACTTGTTATACCCAGTGCGACTGTGGACGTCGCTTATGCACACATACCAATTGACTCGCACAACGAGCGCTTCCCCATATCAAAGCCGATGAGACTGGGATCGGAGGTGATGACGCATAGTTCCTTGAGAGGAGCCCGTCCCGTATTAATCAGTCGGATGGTCCCGGTATACACCTCACCCTCACACATAGCTGCTGGCAGAGGACTGCACACAATACCGAGTTTGGGCATGGGGGCAGTGATCTGTGTGTGGGGTTGGGGGGTTGGGTGGGTGGGGGGGGTCATTGATAGGGGTTATATATATATAGAAGTAGTAGGCGAGAGTGTGATGAAAATACAGAATATCTGAGGGTGGATTATCAACAGGGTGTATATAAATACAGTGGTAGTCGAGGCTATGAGGTAAGAGTGCGGTGTCCATACATAATGTATGGCTCAGTGAGTACTATGTGAATGTGTGGTATATATATATATATATATATATATATATATATATATATACACACACACACACACACACACACACACATATATATATAA